GATGAGCTGTTGGAATTGTCCATAACCTCCAGGAAAATGTGTTGATGGGTTATACGGGGTCCTCGTACATGGAGATATGTGGACAGATTTGTAGATCGTTAGACGCAAAGTTCTGATACTAATAAATTTGAGATTGTCCATATGTATTTATATGCAAATTGTGGATAAAGAATTGTCATGTATTCCCTTTTGGAGAAGAAATGAGACAGTTCATGTTATAAGGTTATAATATTGGTCCATACCTCTTGTGCAAATATTCAAGTAATTTACCGTTGTGCATATACATAAGATGCAATTAATTGCTCCATCTAAATTTACTACTCCCATTGACAAAAATTAAAAATTATATAATTTTTGAATTATTTTGTCTTGGTGGTGTGAGTTTGACCACAATTTTATATTTCTACAATTTTATAAAATACTATAAATTTGGGAATATAAAATTATTATTTTAATGCTAATATGCGTAGATCCTTTAGCATTTGCATAAAAACATGGATATGATTGCTTGTATATTTGTATTTTTAGACGTATGTTTCTTCATTTGGTTATTTTGATTTGCACTATCAAAAATCACTGTAGTGTTAGCACGGATAGATTACTGGTAAATATAAAAGGAAGGGAGCGATATTAGAATTTGTAGCCCATGGTAAGTTTTTTCGGAGATGCAGTTACTTCATGTTAAATCAAAATCGAGGCAAGTAACACAATGATAGTAACATCCTATATGTCTAAAATAGCAAAATTAAAAGCACCAAATTAGTAGTAGCAAGAATCTCATTATTAAAAATCTTCAAATAGATGTAATCTACTATAGGTTTAATTGAAAATTAAGATAAAATAAGCGAAATTACACAAGTAAGACCGACAATTTTCATACGATGTTTTTTTTTTGACTGAAATTTTCATACGATGTTGAAAAATATAAAGACAAATACAGTTAAGTACCATTACCATGTTGATATTTTTAATAAACTGAAAGCAATTGCTTGGTAGAAATCAATAACTTATGCAATACACATGGTAATACACACAGGGCGGCGCGCCAATCACCATGCTAATTTTCAGTTTCTTTTTCGAAACTGTGCATAGGCGCGTGTATGGCTGCTGGAATGACACGCAGCGCAGGCCTGTGCTGGCTGGGCTGCGCAAAGAGATGGGCCATGGGCTTTGCAGAAAAGAACAAGATGGGCCAAGGGAACCCAAAAACAAAAGGAATAAGTTCACCAGAGATCCCTCAACTTAATAGCGAGATTTTTTTGAGTCCCTTAAATACAAAATCAGAAATTTGCACACCTAAACCCACACAAAACGTACACTCAGAGTCCTATGGCAGTATATATGGGTGGTTTTGCTGACGTGGGACCCAAATATCAGTTGCCCTCTCCTATTTTCTTCTCCTCTTTTTTCTCTCTTCTCTCTTATCTTCTTCGGTGAGTGGAGGCTGGCGGCAGGCGGCAAGCGAGCGCGGCAGGCGGGCGGCGTGGAGCAGGCAGGCAGATGCGGGTGTGGCGGCTAGGGCAGAGTGGGCATGGCGGCGCGCCGGAAAGAAGTAGGGGGAGGAGGTCGGCTCTCATTGCTTCTCCCCAGCAGGCGGGCAGATGCGGGCGCAGCGGCGCACGGGGAAGAAGCGGGAGAGGGGAGAGGAGGCAGGAGCGGGCGGCGCGGAGAGGGGAAGAGAGGCGGCCGGGACGGCGGGAGCGGTGGGCGGGGCGGCGCGCGAGAGCGGTAGGTGGAGTGGCGAGGGAGAGCGGCACCGGAGTGACGGATGAGCGAAACTGGCCGTGGGCGGCGGGCGAGAACGGCGGCGCTCGTCATGCTCCAGCTCTTCACCACCGGCGTCGTCATCGTGCTAGTCGACCTCTTCCACGAGCGCGGCAGGCGGAGCAGCGGTGGGCGGAGGGCGGAGGGCGGCGGGCAAGTACGACGGAGCGGGGGGCCTCGTCGGTGAGGGTGAGCAGCCCGGCGCTGCGCTCGCACAAACTGCTCCACCCGGCACCTGCAGACCGCTACCGCGCTCGCTTGCCGCTACCGCTCCACTCCCGATTTTTAATTTCACTTTGGTTTTGTTTCGGCAGAATCTATAGTTGGGCAAAAACCGTTTATTTCAAATGACAATTGTTGTTTAACATTATATAGAGTGCTGAAAGGCCTGCAAAAGTGGAAGAAGTCACGAGTGCTGTTGATATAATACACTACGTAGGATTGGAAAGTTTTATATTTGCCTGATAATACGAGTATCTCATTTGGTATAGCCAAATTGACCAATAGAAAAACTGAAAGCTCAACCATAATTTGCACTTCAAAATTTTATTCTGTACCCATCTAACCAATTAACATACCTACTGAATATGTTATTTGGCGTACTACGTACGACGTCATTCAGTTATATGTTACTTGTACAAATAATTCATCACTAAACCAAACAAACAAGTTGGAATTTGGGCATTTCCTAGCTTGACAGCGGTCCGGCTGGCTGTACATTGGCCTGTGAGTTTCCAAACTCACAACATCTAAATCTTAGCCTAACACATGGTCACCAAAATATATCATGCATGTAACTTAACTACAAAGGAATAAGCATCTTCTTGCGTGCAAAGAATGTATTCCTATATAGTATTCTGACTAATTTGGAATTTCTTCATCTATTATGTTTGGTCAGCCCTGAAGAAGTTAGTCATTTATTATTAAGTTTATACTTTGAAATTCGATCCATGTTTACCAAACAAACAAATTAATCACACAGCTAGGAAATATTCTATCTGTCCATTACCGTTGGAGTTCCGTCCATCCAACTCCGTTAGCCTTATCCAATTCTTTTAAATACCCAAAGTGTCCTCATTGGACCATTTCTATGGGGCTGACGCCTAACTTGTTCTACATGTGCGACACTGATGCCAACTGGCAACTGCTATGCCGACAAAAAGCACACCGGCCATCTTTGCACTGCCATCATCCTCAAAACGCGCTACCGCCACCGCCTCTATCACCTTCTCACCCGCTTCATCACCATTGCATCCGCCGGCTTGACTGCTAGCCCCCGGCTAGTCAGCCACTGCTCTCTGTCGCTGCTCCAACACTCCTGAGCACACCGCCACCCACGTCGTCAGCTCCACCTGCTCTGATCACGCCATCGATGCCAGCGCTACCCTTTTCATCCCCTCCAGCACCATCATTCGCTAATACCCCGAGGGCAAATTGAAGATATCATAATAGCAAAAGATATCTTATGTAGCATATGAAAATAATTTGCATTAAAAACAGCAACAAAAAAAACCTATTTTATATGGCATATGATAAGTTATATTTTAAAAATATAATTAAAAAAACTTGAAACTTATATACGAATCTTAAGAATTTGAATGTTGTATACGGAGGCCAACTAAAAACTTTTATACTTTTTTAAACCTCGAATGAGATAAATTAATTGGTACCTTTACGTCCATCAGAGTATTTTAGATATTTTAAAAAAAGTATCCAACCCAATGAGCAATTAATACAGTTACCGATGTATTATAGAAATAGATAATGTCAATGACAAATCGTTGAGTGATGATAAACTTAATCGCATAGAATATATAGATTGTCTCCAAATTAAAAGGCACGGTGAACCTTAGTGCCAACGATTACTAGTAGCTGCGGTGGTGGTACCTAGAAGAAGATGCAGTATACAGCCATGAGCCGTCGTAGGGGCAAAATAATCTTTTGATGTGGCTAATAGGGTGCAATGAACGGAAAAATGATCGATGGCAGTGACATTTTATAGATAAAATCATTTGTACGTATGATGGCATTTTCTATAACCTCCACTAGCAAAACATAGAATTAGGTGCTTGCTACTTTTCTTAAATTTTCTCTTTAGTTATAAAATTAAGAAATATAATATATTATAAGAAGCCACGTTGAACTAACGAATCTCGTTGACTATTATATGTGTTATAGACTATATTAATCCGAACATACTTAGTATAATTATGTACTGAGGCATGTTACCGCATCATTTAAACATCTCAAGCTGTGTTCCACGTCTGCCCATTTTAAAATATAAATAATAATTAAAATCCTGGACACATGATGCAAATCTCACAGTTTTTTTTGTGTAACTGCAAATGAAATTGAATGCAGAATGTTCATCATCATGAAAAACCAAGTCAAAAGCTAATGTCTTATGGGTGGTCACTGCAGGGGTTTATTGCGCCGGTTTAGAGGCAAAATGGATTCCTATAGTGGGGATGGAGGAATAGGGAATATAAGTGATATACTGCAGAGTGGGGGAATATAAGTGTTTGATGTGTTTTAGAACCGCACATATATATGAGAAATCTTTTGTTGGTTTTCAATGAATAGGCACATATTATGGCATGCATCCTCTATCAAGGGTTCTACAGTGGTGAGTGGTGATCTTATAGAGTGCTTAATTAAAAGCAGACTTGATTATTCTAGAAGTACCATCCAACATTCTATTGCCTGTAATTTGGCTTCTTGACTCTTATATGAGTTTTTTTAAAATGGTTGTATGGAATTTTGTGTTGCAGTGTTTGCACGACGCCACGTAACAGATTCCTACGAACCTAAGCTGCAATTTGCCGTTGCCATCGTAAGTATAACCCTAAAGCTAGATGGCATGCACTAATACTTAAAAGTAGATAACAAAATTTATGTGTACACATGTCCTATAAATAGGAACAGATCATCAAAATGATGCGTGTCTAGCTACCGGCGAATAACCCTTACCCACAAGCTACAATAATATTGCATACATGGATACAAGCATGGCCAAAAAAAGGGGGAAAAGACAGATGCACAATTGGTACATGTAGTCAAGTTGAATATCATCTTACGTTCATACCAACTTATTTATTTATATCGAACTTATCTCTCCAACTAGGGAACAAAAACATATTTGAATTTTTCAATGAGCAAAAGAGGATATCCAACCATCATTTACATCTTGGGCATTTGCGATAGCTCTAGGGTTTATAAATACCATACATCCCTACCTCATCTCTCACAACACGGGAGCTAGGAAGGAGAATCAGCTGAGCCTTGATTGTTTCTTCATAGCTCCTTCCTCTTTCCATAATCAACAAACCCAAAACCAGTTGTGCCGAAAAAATGGCCTATTATGAGATTGCTCCTGTCGAGTGCCCACTTCAGCAAAACGAGCTGTACATGCACCTGTACCTACGCCAAGCTGACAGGGGACCAAACCGTGACCAAGAAGTAATACTGAACCCAAAAGTGCGACCCAACGATTTTGGTCTCACAGCTGCTACTGCATGGACAATATCTGATTCTCTTGATCCCAGTGCAAAGATTGTTGCAAGGGCAGAAGGTTTCCATATGCAGACTAGTTACAACAATACAAGCTGGTACGCTTCCTTCAACATAGTGTTTGAGGACGACAGGTAATTAATCCACAAGTTCTTATTCCAGTGAGGCTACCTAGGTATATATAGTTTGTTTCAATATATACATTATTCCATGTTATATACAGTATGCAAGTTGTATTCCAACCAAATTGACTTATTAATGTGGTATTTTGAAAGTTGATGAAGCTATTAAATTTTTATCTACTATAAACAAAAGAGTAAATTTTTATCTGGCTGGTTTCACGGCAAATAATGCTCATGTACATCGAACAGGTTTAAGGGATCTATGCTTCAGGTGATGGGCACTACTCCGGCAGAAGGTCAGTGGGCCATCTCTAGTGGAACAGGGGAATTTGCCTTGGCTCATGGCATTATCAAGCAGAAAGTTATCCAGTCAACTCCTGGCGAAAATGTTAAAGAACTTCATGTCCATGCATTCTACACTCCAATGAATGATTCTGTGGTACGCATACCACCTTTTCGAATCTATTATGAAATTCAGAAATTGGTATTTTGGTTTCCAAGCATTTTAATTTATTCAAATCCAGTATTTACAACTATAATTAATTACTTACTGAATAGTAATGCTGGTGATGTTTAAAATGTAGCTTTATTTGACATACAAGTAGGCAATTATATATAGAAAATGATTATATATATATAGCTCATTCATCTAACTAATTTCTTCTACGATTTACATGTTACATGGGAAAATGTGTGTTAATATAGACATTACTTGTGCACCTTATCTAGCAGCATATATATGCTGGAGCCTGGAGGTGATAACAATTGAAATGTTTTGTTTTATTCTATCATTCCTAGGTTCCTGGCGCTACCGATGGGAAGTCCTGGACACTCGGGGCTTAAAACCAAAAGCTACTTCCATGCATGGTTTTGTGCTGTTCCAGTGTGTTACTTTGTATTGTGACGAACAATAATTTGGGCACCAAAGCATTATTTCTCAAGAGTAGGAAAAAATCATATCCTACTTCTCAAATCGAGTAAAATTTGAAGAATGGTTCATGGAAACGACAGGTTCTATATCGATCCTGGCCTACTCAAAGATCCGTTGTGTAGTTGTAATTGTCATGTTGATTTCAAGCTCTATGGATGAAACTAGTAATAAATTGAAGTGCAGTTTGTTGTGTCGACAAAAGATTATGTGTACTGATCACCTGGATTAATTATATATACCGTAGCACTTGGTTATTGTTAATATATTAATACTAATTAATAGGTTTACACATGCTCTGAACTTCTGACGGCCTCAAGCCTACCTATGAATTACTTTTCAGAATCAGTGACTTTGTATCTAGGTAATAAGTTATTCATCAGTGGTTTTGAAAGGATCGTTTAAACTAAGTCCATGTCTCTTGCACGCAGAGAGCTGTGGATGTCATATATTTTTTAGTAACTAAAAAATGTTTTATGCAATTATAATAAATTATCGGGAATAGAGTAATTTGTGAGGGATAAATTAAACTCGGCTAACTGACCAAGCCGACGAGGTATTGTACTGACGTACTATTTCGTTGATCGATTGCATGTGAAAGGGCTCAATATCTGTGCTACGCCGGAGGGTTGTTCATGTTAGAATTCACGTTATCAACAATCGAACAAGCACACACGAACACACGGACACGAAAGTGGAGGGCAATCAACTTTATTGATGTTTCTCTCTCTGTTACAAGTCTTACTTTGCCCTCAACCTCACTATTGTATTTATACCCACAATAGGATGTCCTATATGGATACATACATATATATTTGGTATAAGCCCACTTCATTAATAAGGAAACAGAAGGAAGAGGAGGAGGTACCGTGATCCTCACGATCACGGTCCTACAAATCCGACTCCTTTGGGAGATCGGTTTCATAACACTCCCCCTTGGGCGAATACCGCGCTATACATATGCCTCATCAAAACTCCTTCCAAAAAACCAGTGGGAGAAAAGGAATAGGAGAAAGAGTACATAGTACACGCTACTTATATTGCACTGTTGCCTCATTAAAAACCTAAATGTGAGAAACTTCAAAGAAAACTCACTAAAGGGAAAAAGAGTACAACCATAAGCTAATCTACTGGATAACTCTATCATTCTTCAAGAATGATGTACTGATCTACATGATCAATATCAACGGAACACAGTTAGGGAAGTGCTCCCCCTGATTTGTGCACATCTCTCATCCTCCTCATACCGATGCCATGCACAAGCTTCTCAAAAACACTAGTTGGCAAAGACTTAGTAAATAAATCTGCGAGATTTTCACTAGTCTTGGTGAGAGTCACCTTGATTTCTTCTTTCTTTTGCAATTCATGCATATAAAAGAATTTAGGCGATATATGTTTTGTGAGACTCATCTTCACATAAACCATTTGTATTTGTGCAACACAAGCTGAATTATCTTCATAAATAATGATTGGAGTTGGTGTGATATTTAGCCCACATGTATTCTGTACATGTTGTATCACCCTCCTCAACCACATGCATTCCTTGCTCGCTTCAAATAATGCTATAATCTCCGAGTGATTTGTTGATGTCGCGACCATCGTCTGCTTCGTTGACTTCCATGATATGGCTGTACCACCACAGAGAAACACATACCTAGTCTGTGACAATGCTTTATGGGGGTCTGACAAATATCCAGCATCAGCATATCCCGCCATGGTTAAATCTTGATTTTTTCTAAAGAATAAACCGAGATCTTGTGTGCCACGTAAATAACGGAAGATTTGCTTAACACCATTCCAATGCCGTTTGGTAGGAGCTGAACTGAACCTTGCAAGTAGGTTAACAGCAAATGCAATATCAGGCCTGGTACCATTCGCGAGATACATTAAAGCTCCAATGGCGCTTAAATATGGACATTCAGGTCCCAATAATTCTTCGTTATTTTCCTGTGGTCTAAATGGGTCACTCTCTACTGCTAGAGATCTTACTACCATGGGGGTTCTCGTCGGATATGAATCCTTCATATTAAATTTCTCCAATATCTTCTGGATATATGCATACTGGTGTAACAATACCCCTTCAGGAGTGTGCTCAAGCTGCAGACCTAAGCAATATGTAGTCTTACCTAATTCTTTCATCTCGAACTCCGTCTTTAGGTAAGAACTAGCTTCCTTAATCACCTGTGTGGTCCCGATGATATTCAGATCATCCACATATACAGAAATAATACAAAATCCATGTTCTGATCTTTTCATAAACAAACAGGGACAATCATCATTCTTGATGAATCCTTTTCCTTCTAGGAATTCACTGAGCCGGTTGTACCACATCCTACCAGATTGTTTTAACCCATACAATGATCGTTGCAATTTAACACTGTATATGTTGCGTTTTGTTTCTTCAGGAACTTGAATCCCGTCGGGAACTTTCATATAGATTTCAGAATCCAATGACCCATATAAATATGCGGTCACCACATCCATCAACTGCATTTCTAAGTTCAAATTGACTGCCATAGATATTAAAAACCAGAATGTAATTCCATCCATTACAGGTGAATAGGTTTCATCGAAATCGATGCCAGGTCTCTGCGTAAACCCTTGTGCTACTAATCTCGCTTTATACCGAACCACCTGGTTGTTCTCATCCCGTTTTCGGACGAACACCCATTTATATCCTACAGGGGATTCCCTACGGGGGTACGATCAATAGGACCGAATACTTTTCTTTTATTAAGCAAGATTAACTCTGCCTTTATTGCTTCTTTCCATTTGACCCAGTCTGAAACGCTTTTTGCATTCTGCCATGGACTTTGGTTCTGGATCCAGATCAATGATCTTAGCGATCTTTTCGGCAAAGTATATGTCGACAATAGTAGTCTCTCTATTGTATGTTTCACCTGTATCCACATAACTGGTGGATATTTCCTCTATTCTTTCACATTCCTGATCTTCATTGTTTCCCGCAATGTTTAAGTCAGGAATTTCCGGTCTCCCAGTGCTAATAGTAATTGCGCGCGCATTCTCACTGGGTTCATTGCCATCCGGGCATATCACTGCAGGTGGCTCATCTACCTAGTGAGCTCCTTTACTATTCTCTGGTGCTGTGGTATTCTGTCCAATCTTTTGTTTCGAAGGACGTCTCCTAGAAACTTTAGTTTGGTTGTGTGCAACCGGTGGTCTCCCCCTCTTCCTAGAAGTTGGGGTAGATGTAGAAATTAATTTGAAAACCGGTTCCTCTGCGTCATGAGGTATTTCTACTCTTTCCGGTGCATTCACAGCAGGTATATGAGATTTCATGATCCCCTTTGGGTTAATGAAGGCTTCTGGCAGATTATTTGCAATTCTTTGCAAATCAATTATGGTCTGAACTTCCTGGTCAGATTCCTTAGTACGTGGATCTAAATGTAGGAGATTTTTAGTTTCCCACTCAATTTCGCGGCATTCGACCTTCTGTAGGTACTTTCCTCCCCCTAATGCCGGGAAATGATCTTCATTAAATATACAATCAGCGTATCGACCCGTATGTAGGTCTCCTGTCAATGGTTCTAAAAATTTAATGATAGACGGAGATTCAAATCCTACATAGATTCCCAATTTTCTATGAGGACCCATTGACGTACGCTTAGGTGGCGGTATAGGGACGTATACAGCACATCCAAATTTGCGCAGATGGGAAATATTTGGTGCATATCCACGTGTAAGCTGCATAGGGGATACAACATTGTATGCAGTAGGTCTAATTTGAAGTAACGCAGCTGCATGCAAAACAGCGTGTCCCCAACATGTAGTTGGTAGGTTGCTATGTAGTAGCAATGGCCTAGCGATAAGCTTAATCCTCTTAATTAATGATTCGGCGAGACCATTCTGAGTGTGGACGTGTGGTACAGAATGTTCCACTTTAATTCCCAAAGCCATGCAATATTCATTAAATACCTTAGAGGTAAACTCCATGGCATTGTCCATTCTAATGGATTGTATCCGGTTATCTGGGAAACTGGCTCTCAACTGGATTATTTGGGAAATAAGCCGCGCAAAAGCGTGGTTTCTAGTAGAAAGTAAGCAAACAGTGCTCCATCGAGTTGATGCATCAATTAATACCATAAAATACCGGAATGATCCGGACATTGGATTAATTGGTCCACATATGTCTCCCTGTATTCGTCCGGATTAATTGGTCCACATATGTCTCCCTGTATTCGTTGCAAGAATACTGGTGATTCGGCATTCACCTTTAAATTAGAGGGTCTAACGATTAATTTCCCTGTTGCACAATCAGTGCAAACAAAATCTTCTTGGTTTGGGAAATCGTTAGTTCGTAAATTATGGCCATTTGAAGTTGAGATGATTCTTCTCATCATCCCTAGACCTGGATGTCCTAACCTGTCATGCCATATTCTATATGACTCAGGATTTTTAAATATTGTTTTCAGTGCAACATTTTCGGGTTTTATATGAGTGTAGTACAGGCCAGATTTCAAGGAAGGGAGTTTTTCAACAACAGTCTTACGATTTCCGTCTAATTTCGTTATGAGAAGAAATTCGAGTTTATTCTCATCTTTGGTTTCTACATGATAACCATTAGCACGGATATCTTTAAAACTTAGTAGAGTACGACTGGACTCTGGATATAATAGAGCATCATTTATAATGATCTTGGTACCATGTGGGAGAAATACTGTTGCTCGTCCCACTCCGACGATGTGTGCATTGTTTCCGGCAATAGTAGCGATTTGACCAGTCTTTTTTTTAAAGTCTGGAAATACGTGGTATCTCGAAAGATAGTATTGGTGGTACAACAGTCTACCAGACACATCTCCTCTTCCATTGCCATAGTACGTAACACTATTCTATCATAAAGCATTTAAATATAATCAATTCATGACCATATAGTAAAAATAACACTTTAAGATAGAAAAAAAAATCTGGGAAATATATTAAACTAAAAGAGTTCACTCAATTATTAAGATAACCATTGCTCTGAAGGAGCTTATAGAAACTATAGTTCTGCTAGGAACACAAACTAAATTCACACTTGAAAAATCACCTAACTTTAGTCTATTACATAGTCTAAAATTTAAAGTAACTTGTAATGCAGGAAGCTAAGATACAAATTGGAAGACTTAAATGTCCCCATATAACTGATCAGAGTCCATGAGATCATCTGAGAGCTTCAGCTCTGCGTCTGCTGCATTCTGTTCCATCTTATCATCGATGTGCATTGCAACCACTGCCTTCTTATCGACCTTCTTGTCGATTTGCATGGCAGCCATCTTCTGCTCTGAGTTCTGGATCTCAACAGTGAAGTGTGACTCATGCTCTGACTTCTTCTTCCCGTGCTTCTCTTGATAAAGCTCAATGAGATGCTTAGGGGTGCGGCAAATGCGAGACCAGTGTCCCCTAGTGCCACACTTGACGCATACCTGATCTTGCTTTCCATATTCACCACTAGTAGAGCCCTTCTTAGACTTACTGTTCTGATTTCCTTTCTTCTTGAAAGATGTCTTGTTTACTTTGCCACCATTTTTCCATAAATTCTTTCCTTTGTTCTGGTTATTCTGGTTTTTCCCCTTCTTAAAGGAGCTAGCATTTGCTTTGGGTGCTGCTGAACTTCCAGTGGGGCGAGACGTATGATTTTCAACAAGTGTCTCATCTTCTCCTTGCGCTTCCAAGAGCACGGAGACCAGTTCAGAATACTTCTCGTATTTAGCCTGGCGGTATTGCCTCTGAATATTCACATGATTGGCATGGAAGGTGGACAAAGTTTTGTCTATCATGTCAGCATCAGTGATTTTCTCTCCACATAGCTTAAGACAAGTGACAATGCGGTGAAGAACTAAGTTATATTGCTCCACAGAATTGTAATCCTGGAAACGTAAGTGAAGCCACTCACGTTTTGCTTTTGGGAGCAAAGCCTTTACTTGATGGCCATAGCGATCCTTCAGTGAGTCCCAAAGGACCTTCGGATCTTCCTCAGTCATATACTCATTCTTGAGAGTAATATTCAAATGGTGCCTCAGGAAATGCAGTGCCTGATTTTTTCAGCTGAAGTTGGTAAATTATTAACTCCTCCAATTGATGTTGTAATAGTTGGGTCCTGAATGAATGCAGTTCAGGAGTTTCTTAGCACCAAGCATGATTTTGGCATCCAGTGCCCATGTCAGGTAATTCTTGCCGCTGACTGCTAGTTCAGCAAAATCTCTCTTAGCAATATCAGTCATTTTCCTACATTAGTCATGCAAAATTCAATAAGTACTGCAAGTAAGAGCATGACAAGTGTGCAAATAGTAAATTGCCTAGTTATCTAAATTTAGTACTATGTCAATATATTCCCATAATTCTCCCAACATTTCTCAGAATTACTGTACTATTTATTTAGGTACCAAAGATGAATTACTAACCCATTAAATAGTATCCTGAAAATATAAAACAGGTAGGAAAATAAACCATAAATATGATGCTCTCTGGTGTGTACTAAATTTCAAATTATGACAGCTCATTTCCTAAAACCCATGTCTCTAGGATTCTATGGTTGATTCAAAAATTAACTAATAAACAGTTAATATACAGAAAATTGAAAGTACGGAATAACTAAAAAATGTGATATTCTCTGTAATTTCTATAATCCCGAGGGACTATTCCGCTAAAATTCCAAATCCGCATAAAATCAGAAAATATTCGGAATTTTGCCGTTTTTGGGCCAAATTTCGATTCGAGCCCGACTCCTTTTATAGGCCGAATTCATATTCGGCCCACCTCTATATACTGGCCATCCAAGGGTTAACTGGCCCATCGGGACCGTCGGCCTGCTAATGGTCTCAGCCTATAGTGTGGCCCAACAAGGGGTGCCACACCTTATCCGATTGAGTGGCATGGGTTGAAACCCTAGCCCCCAATTCCACCGATGCAGTGGCGGCAGCGGATTTCCCGGAGGCTCATGCGGGCAAGGCAGCGGGGTTAACGGGGGCTCGTCGGTGGCTCGTCGACGCGGCGGGGTCGACGGAACTCGTCGGCGCGGCGGGGTCAATCGATAGAGGCGGAGCGGCGGTGAGGCTACAAGCAGCACCGACGCCGGCGTGGTTGGCTACAGGCCGTTTCCGGCGTCCGGCTAGCACAGCTCCTTGCTGTGCGCCAGCAGAGTTTGGCTCGGCATGCGGGCCAGCGAGGCGGACGGCTATCGGCGGCTGGAGGCCGCGACGGCTTCAACCCCCGTCCCAGTCGCGTGCGGTAGTGCGGGAGGCGTGCCGTGCATGCCGGCGGGGGGATGCGGGTGTGGTCTCCTCGGCGTCTCTTCAGGCGGCGGCCGTCGACGGCGAGTGCGGGCGGTCGATTGAAGACCCGTCGGCTGGCTTTTCAAGGGCGAACCGACGACGGAAAGCCGATGGCACGATTTCGCGGCCATCGGTGAAGGGGGTGGCCGGCGACGCGTGCTGGCGGCAGCAAGGGCACGACGGTGCATGCTGGCGTCATCGGCTTGGTTTCGTCGTTGTCAACTTCAGGAGTATGGCGGCGCTGGCATGAGGATTTGGGCCGATTCGTTCGGAATCGGCAATCACGTTAGCCAGGTACGCGATTCTTCTCATGTGCATCGCGATTACACCCTGAACATAGCGTCGCCCTTCGAGGCATCACTAGTTCTAAACCGTCGTTCTTGCGGCGGCTTGTCTGATCCATTCGCGCGTCTAGGGCGTACGGTATCCGTGTATTTGTTTGCAAGAACAGAAACCCAGCGCAAAGGTTGGGAACAAATCTAATCAGACTATAGCGATAACCGCTTCTCGTTCGATAGATCGGTTGTACTTGGGATAACCCCATACGCCTGTCGCGCATGGGGTGGAGAGCCGCAAACTCTCCTGCTACGTGCGCCATAAGGGACAAATCCACGTAGTACAACCCATCGATCGAACGATTAGCGGAGAAATAAAAATAACAGAAAAAGATCTAGCAAGTTTATCGTTATCCCTATAGAACGAGATTAGATCAGATCGATGTTGACAATATACCTTGGCTGAAGAGCACCTCATGCTGATAACTTGTTAGAATTCATGTTGTCAACAATCGAACAAGCACACACGAACACACGGACACGAAAGTGGAGGGCAATCAACTTTATTGATGTTTTTCTCTCTGTTACAAGTCTTACTTTGCCCTCAACCTCACTATTGTATTTATACCCATAATAGGATGTCCTATATGGATACATACATATATATATTTGGTATAAGCCCACTTCATTAATAAGGAAACAGAAGGAAGAGGAGGAGGTACCGTGATCCTCCTATAAATCCGACTCCTTTGGGAGATCGGTTTTATAACAGTTCATTGCCTCTAGCAATGGAATGATGGAAAAACAGACAATGGCTCGCCGACCAGAGCAAACGCACTCCATATTTAAATACGCACGAGTTTATACGTACTATCAACTACCTCTATACCTCATCAGATCTACTAGCAATAACAGCGCGTTACGCCGCACGTGATTTTATCAAGCTTTGGTGAAGGAACCTATATGATTTATGAGTTTAAGTAGCATGTTTCAGTTCATATATAAAAAAGTTTGTCATATGGTTCTCGTAATAATTTTTTTCCGCAAGATTAATAAGAATGATGCAAACAGGAGGCCACCAGCCCACCAATTATTCAGCGGTGGATAAGATGGCAATGAACATAACATGCATAAACATTTTTTATAGTAGTATAAAAGAGAACAGAACAATATTTTACATGGAGTCGACGCGTATGTGTACAGGATATGATATTTATACGGAGGACATTAGGTACGATGCGTACTGCAGAACGCGATATCTCTACAACATTAGCATTAAAACGGTGGTGATAACATATAGGGATATGGTGTTTTGCTCATCAGCAACGATGGCTTTGGCCGTTTGACCACATGCTACGAGAAGGGCATATGCAAGCTAGTTTTGTGGACACAGTACTTGGATGGTTTAGCCATGTTTGGATTTCCTACCCACCTGACATATGGCATTGTTTCTCCTGCAAAATGGAAATCGATGTGATTCATTATTTGGGATGTATAGCTGGGTCAACAATAGACAGTATTTAGTAATATGTTGTTGGTACATTGAAAATACTAATATGTACTACCTCTATTTTTTAATAGATAACGCCGTTGATTTTTCTCACATGTTTGACCATTCGTCTTATTCAAAAAATTTACGTAATTATAATTTATTTTGTTATGAGTTGTTTTATCACTCATAGTACTTTAAGTGTGATTTATATCTTATACATTTGCATAAATTTTTTGAATAAGACGAATGGTCAAACATGTGAGAAAAAGTCAACGGCGTCATTTATTAAAAAATGGAGGGAGTATAATGTAGGAGGATGGATAATACTTGCCTATGTGGGAAGAAAGGATGATTGATCACGCTTGTCTTAAAAAATATAGTAGCCAAGTCCTTCACCTTCTTTTTGAGAACAAAATAGCAGTCATAATTAGTGATACTGGCGAAAGGGTCTGTAACCTATTGGTTACAAGAGCCTCAGTAGTACCTGAGATCCTCCCCATGGAAGCGAATTTTCTAGGATTTAACGGCATTGTGCTTTCAGTGGTAGGCGACGTACCCGTCGACAGCGAGGCGCCTATGGTGACTTTGTCAATCTCTCCAGGATTTACCGGCCCAGTATTCGAAGATACTCATAGGGGTAGGGTTTGCATGTGTGTGTTCATAGGGGTGAGTGCGCGTGCGTTGTAAGTGTGTGCGTTGTACTGTGTAATTCTAAAAAAAATAATTAGTGATACTGAATATAGAATATGTTCTACATCTTTTTTTGGCTGTAAAAGTGACAAATTCTCCAATTAGTAGTTTTTTCATGCCTACTAAGCTATGCTAATTTGTCGCAATTCCATTTTAAATCACTATTACATAAATCGATTTTGATAGACAAGACCCTCTCCAGGCTGAAGATGGCTGTAACTGCATCTGCATGCAAAAATGGCTCTGTTGGATCGGTTCAAGGCTGCATGTGAAAATACATTATCCCAAACAGCCACTTAAGAGGTCTGCCTCCAAGTCCTACCGTTCTCTCGTCCTTCTCAGCATGCATCTTCAAAATTTTCCAAGTCCTAATTATTATCTCCTCACCTTCTCTCTCACCCCAATCCTCTCCTCATCTTTATCTCTCTCATCTCCCCTCTCTCATTTCTCACCTCCTCTCTCTCCCTTGTCTACACCTCCCAAGTTGCAGCCTGCTAGCGGGCGGGTGCGGGCAGCGGTGGGCTCGAGTGGGAGCGCGCAGGCGGCGGCGAGCTTCGTGACGCGGATCGACAGGTGGGGACCTAGGCGATGGCAAGAACCTCGAGCGGGGTGGCAGCGGCTCGGTGGCGGCGACAACAGGATCCCTTCTCTCTCAACTCCCCTCCTGCATGGATCTGTCCGCCGCCTCCTCTTCGAACGGGATCTGCCGCCGGGTGGCACCACGACAGGATCGGCCGCCGGGCAGCCCCGTGACGGGGAAGGGTGAATCCGCTAGGGTTTCAGGTTTTGGGTTTCAAGTTTTAGTTTTTTTTTTCATGATTTTTCTTTTAGCAGTGCAGTGACATAATTTACCGCTTGTGAAAAGTGGAATTTCATGGACGGGTGTGCCATCTGCTTGTAAAAATAGCTACTTTTACTGACACCTCCGAGCAGGCAGACGGCCCAATTGCATGCGAAAATTTGTTTTGACGGTATGGGAACATGCATTTTTGTAGTTTTGAATTACCTTATATTTAATCAATATACATATTCAAGTTGGCATGAATACATTTTCATATTCTGAATTGTCCGGGCTGATCAATTTGTGATAGCGAACAGAATATGTATTTAGTTCACATGTACATAGTATCTTCCTCTACATGGGCATATTCCATGTACTATCTGATCTAAATATTTAATGCATATACAGCCATTATTGATGGGTGGAAATAAAACCAAATTAGCACATCGATGTCCAGATATGCAATTCAATT